AGCTATAGTAATGATACCTAGGCAGGTAGTTTAAGAGTTGCATCTCACAACGTAGTGTCTTTAGATACAGCCCTGGAATATGCAGCTGTGAATCTTTGTAATATATAGAGTACAAACCTGCAAACTTGCAAATGTTTAGAACTGCTCTAGTATCCTCTTGATGCAAAATGTTACCTTGTACTAGTTCTAGTGAGAACAGAAAATAGTACTCCTCAGTTGAAGAAGGAGATATTTTTAAAAAAATAAATTATACCTCCGTTTTCAGACAGGAATTTAAATCACTGAGGATGAGTGTAACTTCTCTTTATATGCTGCAGCTTCAGATTTCTTTTTGTAATCTTGAAATTTCTGAGCAGAATTTTCTCAAAGTATGAAATAGCATATTTAAAGACAGAGCAGCACTAATATGGTTCATGTTTTTTTACTTCCCTTGAAGACTCTATCTTCTTAGGTACTACTAGACACCTGGCAACGAAGCTGCACTGGGACATGACATTAATCTATTGACACATCATAAACTTCAGGTGCCTGGAGTATTAAGAATGATCTGTATTTTATCTTTAAATTCTATGGGAATGCCTGGTACAGCAGATACAGTGATTCCCAGCTTGAGAGCTTCTTTCAGCAGTCATTCATTTTTAGCTGTTGTTTAACAAAAGCTGGGACCACATCTTTTTTTATTTACACCCACCTTATTCCTGATACATTTACAAAATTCCCCAATTGCACCACAAGTATAGCAATAAATAACCTCTAGGATGATCAACACTACTTGCATATTGCAGATCATTTTCTACACTACTGATATGTCACTTTGAGGAGCCTATTTCTGGAACCTACTTGTGTAAAGAAACTATTTGTTTTCCTTTACCCATCCACTCTTACCTATGAAAAATCTGCAAGAGGAAGTTGTGACTTGTTCACACAGGGAAAGGAAAACTGACTAACTCAGAATTTTGGTAGGAGAGATACACATATGTGTATGTTAATACATTTTTTTTATGTCTGGACTTCAAAATAAAGCAAAATTCTGTTTCTTTTAGTCAGGTGAGCAGGTCACCAGAATGAGATGAACCAAATTTTCACAGTAGTTTTTAAAGTCTAGAGTGAACAGAAATCTTCTTTCAGCCATGTTGTTTCTATTTTCTCCTGCTTTCCTTCTCCACAGTAAAAATTAATAGTCTGGATCTGAAGAGATTTAAAGGTCACATGGAATTTCGACCCCGGCAATGAAAATTGTACAGCACTGCCCTATATTTAAATATTTTTAACGGACTTTTGTTTGAAAGCACTGTTTCTAAAGTATCTTTAGAAAATTATTGCTGAAGTTAAGAACATGAAACATGTTAAAGTGTAGATGTGTAACTTTCCAGTATGTTACTAAACACTGTTCTTAATACACATCAATCTCAAGTGCATATCAAATCACAAATGGTTTTAATCTTCAGAGGGCCTAAGAACTTGCAAGTCTCTTGCACCAATAAAAGCTGAATGTATATAGCATCTTCATCTGTCCATCCAACATTTTATACATATATGTATGTATGCATGTTTAAATTATTTTTTATGGTACTGAAGAAGTTAATTGGCTTATATATAAGTAACACATGCAACTGTGGTACATTGGTGGATACTACAAAGTAGTGAGCAAACACACAAGCTGTCAAAATGTATGATTAGTGTGCAACAGAAGTCACTTAAAGAGAGGCAAGATTACACCACTCTTACCCATATCAGGAAGTATTTCATTCAACTGCTGGTCCTTTTGGGTCAGTCTGAAAACCCTAGTCACTAAGTAACACTTTACTCCACAGGTTTTGTTGATGTAAATTGGGCTATCTGTAGAGTAAAATACTATTCATGAGAAATAAGGGAACTATAAGACCCATTGGCTTCACTAGGTCTTACTAGTAAGTGAAAGGAAAAAAAATATTATGCACTCCTAATAAGAGTGGGAAAATTTGGAACTTACTGAGAAAGAAATTATTTATTTCCTATTAAATATTTATAGAATCAATTGGATGTACTAAGTAATAATATAATATTTAGCATGTATATAGAGGATTGCGCCACTAAACAGTTGCTGAGAAAATGAGAAAGAAGAAATGCAGTTTCATTGTATTAATTACATAGTATGGGATTATCATGTTTCAATATATATTTGTAAAAACTAATGGGAACATTTGTTAGAGAACCCTTACGCAATTCTTTACCTTCCCCTTACTGAGGTACTGAAGAAAACTGCTTAACTGGCTTGATTAACTAAAAGACGTGATAAAGCAGTTGGATATTGTGTCTTTTTTTTTTTCCACTGCCTACACCTTTTATTCCTAGCTGTGTAATTTACATATGCAGACACAGGTTCCTTGGAGTGATTAAAGATATAGTAGATCCAGAGAGAGGGCTGATCCTTTATTATTTCTCCTTAAGTCTGCAGTTTAAATTTTACATGAGGCAGAAGCACAGGACCAGACATAAAGTAGTGCCTACATTCTAAATGCAAATTTTATATAAAATTTACTCCAGGGATGTGGAGATGGAGAATACAAAATGTATTTTCGTAATGCAAAAGTATAGTGAAGAGGATCAATTTTCCCCTCTGGCTACTTTAAACCTGAGCCTTTTCTAAATAGAAACCAACTACACTGTTTCTTACTGTGTCTGTTTTGCCAATACAACTACAAAATATAGTATCAATAAATACGTTTGAACAGGTTGTACACTAGGTAAAACTGAGTGTTTTCTAATCTACTGACTGGACTATGCAAACTTCCAAAACACTCCGTGTAGATAATGAGGGAAAGCAAGACCAGCATTAGATACACCAGTATGTTACGAGGAGTTTTAGTTACATTTTCCATAGCTGTCATAATGAAACCTCTTATAGAAACCACAACACACTTTTTAAGGGAGGAAATTCCTCTTTTAGCTTTATATAGGTTTCAGGAAAAAAAAAGTCATGATTGATCTTATACAGTGAACACTGTAAAAAAGAAGTAATCATATTTTCCATAGGGATTTTACACTACAATTGAAACTTTACTACTCAGTAGCATCAATACATTAATTAATTGCTTTATATAGACATTACACAGTTGTAGGAAAGTATATTTTTCTGTCTTTTAGTAACTATTACACTTGTCAGTAGGAAAAACGTGGAGTGTTTCTTTTTTTAACTTTCTGACAACTCCATTTTACAATAAATAAAGGTTGACATTACTTAAACAAATGTCATGGAAAGTTATTTGTTTTTTAAAGGATGAATAATAAATCAAATTATCTCCGGTTGTGCCCTAACCTAAACTCTTTCCTAAAGTGTCATTTTTGTTACAATCAATTTCAGATTTGAAGTATTGCTCTTCTCACCTAATTGATAAAAACACAAATTCATGATAGGCATAAAATGAAATTGTTTCTGTGACACAATAATTGCTTGAGGATTAGTTTACAGTGACCTTGTATAGGCAGCCTTTTTAATTTTATTCTTTTTCCCCAGTTATAAATGTCCCATTTCCAGGTCATCGGTTACTTGAATTTTGATTCTTTAAACTGCCAATTACCATTGGCCATTTCTATTCGGTTTAAAATATTAGATACAGCTGGCAAGTAGAACATTTGGTGTTCACAGATCACAGAGCATGGTAACTCCAAGGTATTATGAATCTTCTTCAGGTACATCAAGTGACTACAGTGCAACATCTTTCCCACTAGCTGCATACACAAAATGAGTCTGTGTCACTTCTGATACACTCAGCTCATTCCCTTATGACTCAGAACAGCATATCAGGAGAACCACAGGGTAAAACAGATATGACATTTCAAATATATTTAATAGTCATTATCCAGAGCCTGCTTTCAATCCGAACGTTAAAAATCACTTTGGAACATACCTGTAGTGTTTGAACATTAAGCTGCATTAATCATGAAGTAATACTTTAAATTAAATCAACTGGAGCCAATTTCTGCCCTCACCTTCACTCTGCAAGTTCACTGCTCTGAAATAAATCTTCTGAGTTTGGACTTCAAACTACCTGCTAAAAATTAAGTCATTCTTTGATTAGTACCCTATATCCAATGGTCCAAATTATGCCATTTCTCACATTCACAAAAGTCAGTAGAGGACAGTGGGGATATAATTGGCAGCAGAATGCAGCCCAGCTACAATTTCTAAATGAGCTTTGGTAGAAGACAGAGTGTGTAAGTCTTTCACTATAAAGCAATCATCAATGTTGACTCAGGCTACTGGAAATCTGACTAGTTATTTTGCTGGTTTATGACAGGATGTGAGTTTTGTTAACATTTGGAGGTAGGAGGGAGTCACCACGTACATTTTCTTTCTATTTGACTAAGCAGAATTTTCATCACTGAAAATTTCATTGTTTATGGGGAGAGGAGGAGGCAATGGGGCCCCAATGATACTGTCAAAAATATATTTATGGATATATATTCTGAAGAAGGAAATTTAAAAAAAAATTAAAACACATGTCTTGGAACGACTGCTCATATTTATATCCAAGATTGGAGGGCTATAATACACTGTTGCAATAGATGTCCTCAGTGTGCAGTTTCTTCCCTGTCCTGTTAGTTACTGCAGGTAGTATGACCACTTTAGAAATTCTCTCCCTCTTCCCCACCCCAAACCAAAGAGAAGTGAAACCTGTGGAAGCACCCACCCCTGTCTCACAGTCTCCTGGGAAAATACCCCAGCATGCCTCAAATGAACTAAATGCCTGCCCACACCCACATGCACCTCTTTGGCACTGCCATAGCTGTCTGTGTTTCAGTGAGCAATTTCTTTTTAATCCCATGGGAAACATCAATGTGACAGCAGAACCAGACCCACTGGGTGTGGTCTGGTTCCACTTTCATTAAGTCCGCCTCTCTTAAGTGACTTGTGTTGGTCCCTTCAGGGGTACCTTACAGCAGATTGCACTGCAGATAAAAGGGAAAGTTAAACCAGTGTCTAAAGTGAGGTCCAGGGTATTCTAAAAGTCTCCTACCTGAATTATGGACATCCGGCTCGGGGGAGCCTCGCTGGCGTTAGTCCCTTGCCCTGTGAAGCTGGTGTGGCAACCCACATGTCCCTGGGGTACAGTCAGGTTGTTGGAGGCGGGCTTCAGGTACATCACCTCAGACCTGGGAGAGCTGAGGGGCAGGCGGGTCTGGTAGTCAAAGTACATGGGTGAGGTGGCCAGGGATGGGCTGCTCACCACGTTCATGACATTGAGGGGACCCCGGCTGTCCTCGCCCTCACTGGGCACCAGCATAATGTCATTCTTGCTGATCTTCTTCTTCTTGCCCTTGCCCCCTCCACTGCCACTGCCTCCTCCTCCCCCGCCACTGCCTCCCCCTCCTCCCAGCTGAGGGTGGCTATACTCGGCAATGCGACAATTATAGGTGCGGATCTCCTTGTTCTCTCGCTTGCACTTCACAGCAATAGTGATCATGGCAGCCAGCAAGATGATGGAGACAGTGCTCAGCGTCACAATCAGCGGCAGTGACAAGTCCCAGTGTGGCCGCCGATGCTGCTCGCCATTCACCTGCGGCTCCCCAGCCTCGGGCAGGGGCCCTGCCAAGGCCCTGACTATGAGCTTGGCCACAGCAGAGAGGCTGGGCTTGCCATGGTCACTGACTTTTACCACCAGTTCAGCCACAGGGCTGAGCTCCTCCCAGTAGGGGTGCAAGGTGCGTATCTCACCACTAGTGGGGTCCATCTCAAACAGGTGCTCCTCATTGCCTTCCACAATCTCATACGTGAGGCGCCCACTTTCCCCAAAGTCACTGTCCAGGGCGCGGACGGTGCCCACGGGGTAGCCCACCCCAGCATTGCGTGGCACCTGCAGCTCAGCAGTGTCGTTGATGAGGGCAGGCAGGACAATGAGGGGTGCGTTGTCGTTGACGTCGAGCACGGTGACGCGCACTGTGGCATTGCTTTCACGGTGGGGTGAACCCGAGTCTTTGGCCAGCACACGGAACTCAAAGTGCTTTGTCTGCTCATAATTGAAGCTCCTCAGGGCATAAATAGCACCATTTGTGGGGTTGACAGAGACATAGGTGTAGATGGAGACATCTCCCACATGCCCAGGCAGAATGGAGTAAGATACCGTCCCATTTTGGCCCAAGTCAGGATCCTGGGCCAAGACTGAGCCCAGGTACTCTCCAGGGATGTTATTCTCAGGCACCTGTAATACATAAAGATTCTTGCTGAAGCGGGGTGGGTTGTCATTCTCATCAAGGATTCGGACAGAAAATGACTTGGTGGAGTTAAGTGAGGGATTGCCCCCATCACGTGCCACGATGGTCACATTGTACTCGTCCTGTGCCTCACGGTCCAGGGGTCGGTCGGTGACCACAGTGTAGAAGTTGTCATAGTTCTCCTCCAGGGTGAAAGGAACAGCACCGGGCCCACCGCCACCACCCAGCACCCGACACTGGAGCTGCCCATTCTTGCCTGAGTCACGGTCAGTGACCCGCACCAGGGCAATGACAGTGCCTGGTGGGGCAGCCTCACTCAGAGCTCCCTGGCGAACGGAGACAAAGCCAATGGTGGGAGCATTGTCATTGCGGTCGATGAGGCGGACAGTGACCTTGCAGTGAGCAGGGATGGGATTGGGCCCCAGGTCCCGAGCTTGGACATCAATCTCAATGAGGCCACTCTCCTCATAGTCCAGGTTGCCCTTGACACGGATGAGGCCGCTTTGTGGGTCAATGCTAAACAGGTCACGGACGCGCTCAGGTGCATAGCCACTGAAGGAGTAGAGCACCTCTCCATTGGTCCCCTCATCGGCATCGGTGGCATTGAGGTCGATGACTGCTGTGCCTAGCGGTGCGTTCTCTGGCAGCTCTACCACATAGGAGGCTGCCTCAAAGATGGGGCTGTTATCATTGGAGTCAATGAGGCGCACATTGATCTGCACTGTCCCTGAGCGTGGGGGGTCCCCGCCATCCAGTGCTGTCAGCACCAGGGTGTGGTGACTCTGCTCCTCACGGTCTAATGGCTTCTGGATGACCAGCTCTGGAAACTTTGTGCCATCACCACGGGACTTCACATCGAGGGAGAAGAGGCCGTAGTCATCACGAGTGAGCAGGTAGGTGCGCAGACCATTGTCCCCAGCGTCTGGGTCGTGGGCGCTGGTGAGGGGGAAGCGGGTGCCTGGTGCAGCATTTTCGGAGATGTCCATGTCCACTTGGTCAGAGGGGAATGATGGTGCGTTGTCGTTAAGGTCCTGAATCTCCACTTTGATCATGCAGATCTCCTGGTCATTGGCGAACACCTCGAGGGACAGCTGGCACTTGGCGCTGCGCCGGCACAGCGCCTCACGATCAATGCGCTGCTTGGTGTAGAGCAGCCCGCTCTCCCCGTCCACGTCCAGGAGGTGCGGGGCTGAATTCTCCAACACCCGGAAGGTGGACTTGGGGCCGCGGCTGCCTCCGGGGCCGCCACCGGGAACGCCACGCTCCGCGGGCAGCATCCCGCCACCCGCCGCGCCTGCCGCCAGCCGCGCATCGCGCCCGATGTTCCCGATGACCGTGCCCGCTCCCTGCTCCTCCGGCACCGAGTAATTCAGGTTCTTCAGCGACAGGGCGGGAGCCCAGCAGAAGAAGAAGCAACAAATGGAAAGGTACATCCCCGATCAGGGGTGGGGGTGGCAGGAGCAGCAGTGACGACCAGGGTTGTCCCCGTCCTCTTTGCCTCCTGCGCTGGGGTTGTTCTTCCTCCTCTGACGGCTCTTTTTTCCCTTCCTTTTTGGTTTTGATTTTTTTTTTCCCCTCCTCTTTCCCCACCCCTATATTTCAAGTTCCTGAACCTGTTGCTCTAAAACATCTGCAGAGACACAGGATGAGAGGCAGCAAATAGACCATGTAGCTCAGAGGGAGGGAGCAATCGGGGGGGTCGGGGGAGGGGAGGGAGCAGCTTCGGCAGCGTTTCAGCAAGAGCTTGCCGTGCTTGCAGTCCCCTCGCAGTTACTTCGTCTGTCCAACTTCGGCAGTGGGAGGGTTTCAAAAATCAGAAAATTTGCAAAAGATCTTCTCCTCCGGGCAGGTGATGTGTTCCTGGTCCTTGAATCCCCGCAGATATACAAAGAATAATAAAAATAATAACAATAAAAAAAAACACGGCGGCAGTGGTAGTTTTTCTAAAAACTATCAGAAATATTTTTAAAATCTGTGTATTTATATATACATGGGGGTGGACACAGGTCTGTAGCAGAGGTAAAAAAGCTTATTTGCTACTCATCGCTTGTGATACGGCTGATGGAATGGAGGGTTAGGAGAAAGACAGAAGGGGAAAAAAAAAAAAAGTCTCAGCTTGTTGTTGAAGCCCTCTTCGTGTGCAGTGAGCGGCAGTGAAATGTCTGATTGCACCGCGGGGTTGTTGGTTTTCAGGGAGTGTTTTGCTGCATTTAGAGATCTAATCTTGCATTGCTTGCGGCGGAGAGCTGCATCTCGCTGCCGTCGGTATTTCCCCCCTCTCTGTCTCGTACACCCTGGGTCACTGTTTCCTTCCCGAATCAGAGGGAGAGGGAATGAGGATTGCAGGGCAAGAGGGGAAAACAAAACACATTAAAAAAAAAAAACAAACCACAAACCACCCCCCCCCCAGCAAAAAACTAGTGCTCGGATTTATAGCTTCCTTTCTCTGCCTCTACTACCAGCCTCCAACCCATCCTTTTGGGGTGAAAAAATTAAGAAACCCACTAGTTGACCTTCATCACTAGCAGTAAATATATATTTTGAGAGAAAGCTCAGACCGTGCTCAATCAGCAGCACACTTAGGTTTCTTTAAGACAGGCCAGTAGCCGCCGCCACCACCACATCCTTTCTCTCCGTGTATCTATGCGTGTGTGCGTATGCGTGTCTGAGGAGCTGCACTTTTCTCGATGCAGTTTAATTCCAGTTTGCTTTTCTCTCCAGCCGAGAGGAAAGCAACAGGCAACCCATGGCTGGACGCATAGATTAAAAAAAAAAAAAAAAAAAAAAAGCAAGAGAGGGGGTGGGAGGGCGGGGGGAGAAAGAAAAGCCACCACACACACACACACCACACACACACTCTCTCTCTTTCTTAGTCTCTCGCTAAAAGAGAAACAGTCTCTGTATTCACAGGGCTGCGCTATCAAGTGCCTCTCTTTTCTTTCTATTCAGCGTCTCCTTCCAATGACACTGCCGCCTAGTCCTCTTCATTTAGGGGAGGAGAGAAGAAGAGGAAAAACAATCCTGGCCATGAAAAAAGTGGGAGATCTTTTAATCGATTAATTCGCTTATATTAAAACCTACGCAGTTCCGCGATCAGTGTGATGCATTTTTTGCAGTCCTTTCAAAGCTTTAACAGTCTCTCTGAGCATCTTGGTACAGGGGATAAGAGCAGCAGCTACGCCAGATGCGTTCCCCCCTGCGATATACACCTTTCCTAGCGATACGGTGTATAGGTAAATATTGGGGAAGGGTAGCTAAATTTTATTTCAGGTTCTTTTAACAACCTGAAATAAATGAATGGTAAATCCAGAAATGCAGGTGTTTCAATCTGCTTGGATGAGTCAGATCCAGCGGAACAAATCACATTCACTATCGCCTCATGTTCCTCCCTTCACAGACATTAGTTGCAGCTTCTTCCTAACGCTTCTCTGACTCACTCTATAGACAGGAAAAAAATTAATCAGATTTATATTTTGGAGAGGGAGGAGGGAAGAAAGAAGGAGAAAAAAAAAAAGATAAGGTGGGGGTGTCGGATCCAGCTACACTTTTACTATACCTCTTTCTCCAGGAGACTGAGGATCAGGAAAACAAGGCTGTTATCCACTCACTGGCACAGAGGCGCGTCTGTCTCCTGCTTTGCTGAGTGTTTTTAACCACCTTTCCTCAGTGTTATGTGTGAAATAAATCAGAGATCTTTCACATTAAAAGAAAAAAAAAAAAGGCAATAAAAACATAGGTTTCCAATACATAGCTCACAGATATAGTTCCGAGTCTCAGTTCTGCACTGTTTTTTTCTCCTTTATTTGAGTCCGGACCCAAAGTACACAGTTAATTCTGCAACGTATGGCAGGGAGGCTTTCAAATGCAAAAGAAGAAAAAGCAAATATTCTTCTCTGCCTCATTGATGGGTGGCCCCTTGCAAACAGACGGTCGCCAGTCTTAGCCAGGCAGCACGCAGAGCGAACGCCGATCCCCGATAAACCAGATCCATTTCACCAGCCGCCCGCAGGTAAGTGGAGAATTCAGTGAAAATTCAACAGTTGGAGCCGCGCTCTGCCTCGCTCGCTCTCTCTCCCTCTCTCCCCCCCCTCCTCGCCTCCCTCACTGCAGCACTCGCGGGGCCGCCGCGCCGCGCCGCGCTCGCCCAGCGCCGCTCGCCGACTGCCTCTATTCACCTCACGCCGCGGCTTAAACATTGATACGGATTCCCCGCCAGCCAATCGGCGGCGGCGGCGCCGGCCGGCCCCGGAGCGACCGGGCCAATGGGAGACGGCGGGGGGCGTGGCCTCGGCGGGCGCTGGGTGTCATTGATTAGAGCGGCTCGGAGGGGGACGCGGGGCGCGCGAGCGGCTTGCGCGGGTTGCGGTGTCTGGCCGCTCGCGCACCGCAGCGCCGCGCCCCTGGCCCCCGCCGGCCGCCCTCGGCCCCCGCCGCTCCCTCGCCGCTCCCTCTCCCCTCCCTCTCCGCCCCCCCTTATTTATTTATCTGTAAGGCGTGCTAACAAGTCCTCCGCGCTGACGGGTGGGGAAGCAGGGGGGACGCGACGCCCCCGAACTCGCCCAGAGCACTGCGAGGGCGAGGACTTGATTCCGCCGCACGGTCCCCGAGTGACCGCGGCCCGGGGATGCGCGGCGAGAGAAGGGCGCTGTTGATGGGGGGACGGACACCCCCCGCCACCTCCGCCCCGGCCCTGTGGGAGCCGCCCCGAGCGGGTCTCGCCCTCCCCGAAGGGCAGCTCCCGAGGGCAGGAGCGCATCCCCTGCCCGCGGGGAGCGGGGCGGAGGTGGCAGCCACGCCGTGAGGGGCCGGGGTCCACAGCAGCGCCCGCCCCCGCCCCCGGCGCGCAAGGGAGGCTCCCGGCGGGGGGAGGACTGAGGCTGGAAAGGTGCGTGCTCGGATTGCCGGAGGGCCGCTCCCGACCCGTGCGTACTGAAATGAAGCTGCCATTTGTGACGAGCGTGTAAGTAGCAAGAATCGTTTAGGGGGAAAAGAAAAAGAAAAAGAAAAAAAAACCGGGAGAAAAATATGTAAGAAAAAAAAAACAGGAGAAAAATATGTATAAAGAAAAAAAATAAAAAAAGAAGAAGAAGGTAATAAAGTCCAAAGCACTTATAAGACGCTCCTGAATTATTTTTGGAGCGTCTCTTAAAGGAGTCAGTTAAGGCAGCTGCTCGTTTGTCTTGCTCAATAGGATAACCTTCAGTCCTGAGTTATGATGTTCATAAATATAATTTGACTTGGAAAAAGTCTTGCAGATTTATAAATTCAAATGAGTGTTCTTTCCAGACCCATCTTTCCGTCCTGAGGACCTCTTTGTAGCTGTGAAACGGATAGTTTGCCATCCCGAGCGAGTCTGCTGGTAGCCGTTATAGAACTAATGCCGTGTTAAAATTCAGTGTATAAACAAACTATACATAAATTAGTGGCAGCAGAAAACCACTACTCTCAGCCGAGCCAACTTTCTGTGTGAGAGCGACGGACAGATGAAATAAAGGATATGTTTACAAAATGGGCTTTGCTTTCTGCATGAGAGCTTCAGATTGGCTGAGGGAATTTGGCGTATTCGGCTAAGTCACGTATTTGGAGAAGTTCCCTATAAAAACAGCACAGTATTAAAAGTGGAACAAACATCAGCGTAAGCCCCTGAGCTATCAGGAGACCTCGTTTGACTGCAACTTGAGTCCTCTGCCTTCCTCTCCTTATTCTGAAGTTTATGCCAAACCTTCAGGATGTCTCAGGATATCCAGAGATTTTTCCACGCCAGTTCTGCTAATTGAGGGGGGAAAAGGGTCATTGCAATTATGTAATGGCTCCCTCTAGCGTGCCAGAGATACTTCTGCATTTGGGGTATATCCCGTGTGCGTGCATCCTGCGGGGCGTGTGTGTGTGTCTGTTTATGTGTGTGTGTATATATATATATATATATGTATATATACACACACACATACATATTTTGGGCTATACACTGTGCCTAAGTGTGTCCACATAGGGTAATACTAGTTTCCTGTCAGCATGAAAGCACCAGCAGGAATAAAAAAAAAAAGAAGTAGTTTGTGTTACGGTGGCATATAATATGTTACATATTTCTGACAGTGCTTCTAATGTTTAGTTTAAAAAACAGCCTTGAAACCTAGGATGAATTTTACTTTTTTTTTTTTTTTTTTTTTTTTTCCTAGGAGGAGGAGGAGGTGGCTAGTGTCTTCATCACCTTTTTTTTCCCTCCAGCCTAGCGAGTACTTTTTTTTATATGACTCAGCATTGCACAATAAATACTCTGACTGCACAATGAATTCAATAGATTTGAGGGCATGCTGCAGTTTGTAAAACAAGTACTCAGGACTCTGAATTAAGGGAAAAACTATATAACCCTTTATACAAGTAACTGGAGTCTTTGCTTGTAAAATCTGTCTTTTTTTATCAAACATCTTGCAGCTTACAAGAATCCATTGATACCAACGACATGCATGGAATACTTAGAGGAAAAGTAAAATCTGAAACACTAGCACTAGGTCTTCAAACCTGTGACTGAGTTCCAG